CCTTACAATCCAAAATTTCCCGCATCCCCCTAGAACTTCCAAGATGACCTCAGTCTCGCCCAAAGCTGCAATGGAGCTCCCTTTTCCCTCGTCGACTTGATGCTCAACATTGTGCCGAGCCCTCAGCAGCAGCTCCTGGCGGTGCATGTTGCTCCGAACGGTTTGGTGCTCGCAAAGATTTGGGCTCTCGAGCTGTAGTGTAGTGGGTTTGGATTGTGCAATGGCTGCGAAGACTACTAAAGCACAGTTCCGGGGGGAAGCTTTCGAGAAGGGGCTCGATATTGCTGAGATCCATCAAAAATGGGATGCTGATTCGGAAATCAGAAATCGCCTCCGAGGGGGGGCCATGAGCCTTTTGCACCCGAAGAGCGGCTTGACTTGCGACAACTCGACATGCAGTTTGAACAAAGGCCTCCTTACCCCGATCCTCATGGGCATGAGTGCGAATCCGGATCGGAAGTTGCCTGGTTTGAACGACTTAAGGCATGAGATGGCTTGCTGCTTTCGGGCCAACAATCGGGTAGGAAAAGAAGTTATGGAAGCAGTGGCGGGAGACGCCACACACCTCCGCAAGCTTCTTTCACACGTGAAATCGAAAGCTCGCCGTCACGAGGTGAGTTTGGAAGCTCGGCCAAACAATAAAAGGTTTGCATCATTCTCCAAACCGTACAACACATCTACACACACGAGCCCGATAAATAGTCCCTTTACTCCTTAGCTAGCCCAGGACTTCAACTTCCAGGAGCTCGTGCTGGCTTTGGACCCATCCCTCCAGGCCTTGAGTAGCTCCACCCACAACTCAATCCCACAAGCATTAAACCTTCCTGCTTCAGGAGGTGGTGGATGCGATTCGTTTGCGAGCACAAGCGAGAGAGGAGGACCGTGATTTCGCAGAAGTGCAACTAAAGGCCTCTCCTAAACCGACATCTTAAATGTAAGTACAAATTCCACAAAAACCCTAAACCCTAAACCCTAAGATCTCGAAACTATAATCCCAAACCCAAAAGACAACTGAAGCTCCACATGAACCCCAAAACCCAAGCCCCAACACATATATACACCTTAACTCCCAGGACCCGGACAACTTCGAGGACTCGGATGGCTACGATGATGGTGAGGAGGAGACAAACGATGATTCCCTGGTTTCCTCGAATCCTTCAGCTACTACCCCTGCAATGGCATTGGTATCGGAATCCCCGAATCCTTCATCTACTGCAGCTCCCACAATGGCCTTGGTACCGGAATCCGCGAACCCTTCAGCTACTGCAGCCCCTACAATGGCCTTGGTATCGGAATCCGCGAATCCTTCAGCTACTGCAGCCCCTACAATGGCCTTGGTATCGGCAACGAGTCCTTCAGCTACTGCAGCCCCTACAAGCACATTGGCATCGGAATCGAGTCCCTCAGAGGCCCGAACGAAATACGACTTTGCCCCGAAGCTTATATCCTTATATAGTGTAGTTTCTGGTCAGGCACCCGTGACACCTGCTCCGAAGCTCAAGCACAAGCCCTCTTTCACGCCGACTCCTCCACCGCTCGGCCCAGGCATGCAACTGCAGAGAGTTTGCAATCGCAGTTTTCGGGATGTTCAAGGATTGTTTCTATTGTTCAGGTCATACGCTTTCTGATGCAGATCGTGCTGCCATTGTTGCAAGAATGGCTGTGTTGAAGCAGAAGCTGGCAGCTGCTGCAACGAATCTTGTCAGTAATGACCAATCACACGACGACCGTTTTGAGTGGTAAAGATCATCCGTGCATTCCCGAGGATGACTACAAGCCCTGATGCCACAGACTCGCGAATCTTGCCCGCACGAATCCACAGAAGCCACAGACTACCCTAAACCCTAAACCCTATATAAACCCTAAAGTCTAAACCCTGAGAATCCGAGGCTACTCACCTGTCAGTTCGACTTCCGATGCACAGGAAACTCAGCCGTGGGATTGCTTGGAAGCCCCGGTACCCGCGATGATTGATTGCAAGCC